GCCCCTTCCCTACTTCAACTACTACTATCAGAAGGCGGCTGTGCCCATGTAAGGAGTGTCTATGAGCATTTTTTACGAGCATTTTGATCCGAAACCAAGTCTTTGGCACACCGTTGCATCTTTCAGTTATAATGACTGCTTTTCACTTGCAGCTTAGTTTTTTACTTTGGTCAACTATATATATATGGCTAACAATCCTTTGGTGTTCTTTTGGAGCACAAGACAAGCAGCAAAAAACGTGAGACAAATCAGTGAAGGAAGTGGACCAAAAATCAATGGCTTCCACTGGCTTGCCAGGAGGACGGAGGTTGCTGTCGGAGAGGAAGCCACTGCTCCAGTTGGCTTCAATGCTGCTGAAGAAAATTAAGGACAGTAAAAAGGATGATAATTCAGCTCCAGAGAATCAGGCCACTGGCAATCACTCTAGGAAGGTTACTGTTATGGAGTCAATTGTTACTTTTGACGTTAGATATTTCCCACTGAATCATATCATAATTAAAATAAGATGCCGATTTTCATTGATATATGAGATTACTGTTATTAAATCTCACCTTCGTTCATCATTCTGTAAAACAAAATTAAAAAAAATCTCTCCATTTCTTCTTTATTTTCCTTTCCTTTCCTTTTCCTCTCTTCTCTCGCCACCAACCATCATAGCCTTCTTTCTTCGTTCCTCTAATTGGAATCTATTCACGTTGGCCTTTTACATGCCATGCTTGAAGCCAGCAAACCTTCATGACATGACGTTTAGCGATGTTAAAAACTACGATTCTCAGTCTCTAACGTTATTTACTTAAAACTATAAAAAAATTTAGAAAACAGTTCCTTCATATTTTATTAAAATTCGAATAATAATCTTAATAAAAAAATAAACTAGGTATGATATTTATACTAATTTTCTTTATATTGAAACTTATTTAATTAATAAAATCTATCAAGTATTATAATTTTTAAATAATAATATACTAATTAAATTAAAAATTTATCTTTTATAAAAAAATACATTATGATAAAGTTAAATAATAGTTTCCTCTTAAAAAAATTAATAATATTTGCAAAGCTCATTCACCATTATGGTATCATGCTTTCTGAAACCAAAATGCTTATCTGCCAAAAGAAAATTAAATTTTAACACGGCCAAATTTTTTAGGCACTCAATATCTACTCACTGGAGTCATGTCTTATTGGATGCTAACAAAGGCTTTTAGTTTTTGAATGTAAAGAGTTTGAAGAATAGAGAGTTAGAGAAACAAATTCTTTATTGAAGAGGCTTCGCTTTAGAAGACTACTCTCCTAAGGTGCTGCCTTATAATATTACACACAACCTCTATTTATACTAATTTTTTAGGCTTTTGCTTACATCACTTGTTACATAAGAAAGTACTAGAGCACACTTAATAATACACCCTTATAATACAAACGACAAAATACAAACGACAAGCTAGTATAATACTAATATCAACGGACAATAGGTTCATGATCTGGAGAGAGATTCTGATCTAATAAGATATCCTGATCTTGAGTAGTTTGTACTTATAAGGCCAATACATAGTCATCATCTTCAATCATTTCCAGCTCATGTGGTTCCAAAAGCATTGGGATGCCCAGAATTATATGCTTGAGTTTTTTGTTTTTGTACTACCTTTGTAAGTCATGGAGATGAACAGAATATTCAGGGTCATAAACATCATAGCCAAGTTCTTCATCAAGATCTGTTCCTTTAGGCCATAGTTCATCAGCAATAATGTTGTTCTTGAGGCATATTGTTTTTTGCATGGTCCGAAGTTCTGGGAGATTTTCTAGGGGGTGTTCATACAAGGAGTATGGATGGGTTTTATAGAAGACAGCTTGTGGAAAACTTATAACCAGATGGTCTGTTGAAGTTTTGAAAGGCTTGTGGAATATGAAAATAGAGAACAGATGAGCAAAAGGTTGTTTAACAGACTTATTTTGAGATTCATTCCAATATACTTCAATCCAACAAGTTTGTGGATGAGGCCATTGAGATTTTTCATGTTGGAGAAGGGAGATCCATTGTGTAGGGCTGTGGAATCAAGTGAGGAATTTTAAAATATAATTCTAAGAGTCTGTTTGCCAAGAAGTCTGAAGAAGACTGGAAAGAAAGTAGTCAGTGGGAAACTCAATAGCAATATGGTACAGGTGACAGAGGTACTATAAGAAAAAGTAGAGTTCTTTGGGGAATAAGCCGAAAGGTTTGAAGGTGAAGAGGTGGATAAAAGGATATTTGAGATAGATGCCTAAGCTTTGGAAATAAAAGGAAGACATATCATAGTTGAGAAGAAGGTAATCTTGGAGGCTAAACAGTTTCTCTTTGGCTTGTAGGTTAAGAGTGTGGTTAAGAATTATTTCTTGAGCAATAGGGGGTAAATCATCTATGGGGAAGTCTTTCTCAGGTGGAGGTGGATTGGAAGAGGAGGCCATAAGAATCAAGAGAAGAAGGAGTGCTTGTGATTTAGGGGGTTTGGTGAGCAAGTCTGGGATCAAGTTCTTGGTTCTTTTTATATGCTCGACGGTGAAGGTATACTTGGAAAACCACTCTGCTAATCTCAAAAGTTGTGGATAAGGAAGCATTAAGATCTCTTTGAAAGTAGAGTGGTAGTGGGTTTCTGATTCCTTGAAGGACCCACTTTTGTATCCATATATGTGTCGGTGGCCATCTTTATCTTCAAGGAGGACAACACTCCAATACTTGTCACTACCATCAGTTTGGAGTATGCGTTGGCCTGTGGATGGAATAACTAAAGCAGATAAATTTTATGTGGCCATTTTTAATTGCTTGACAGCTTGTGTCCGCTTTTCTGTCCAAGGGTCTGCATTTTTTTTAGTATGAGCTGTAGTGGCCTTGTTATTTGTGCAACTCGGGGAATAAAATTTTGGACGTATTGGACAATGCCCAAAAACTGTTGGACTTGTTTTCTCGTTAGGGGGCCATCAGGAAATTTTTGGAGTTCTTCAGCTATATGGGTGCCAGGTGTATAAGCACTGATTGATACTTAAAAGTGTATTTTTATCAAGGTTTTATATCATCATTTTGCACTTGAAGTATCAATAACTCCTTAACTAAAGCATGTTTTATAATAATATATTTAATAATATAAGATACCTTTAATTTATGATAAATGTTCATTTTAAATGTAGGCCTATCACATAAATGAAAGGATTGATTGATGAATTTAAGAACTTAAATTGGAAGGACAAAAGATAGTCAAACTTAGAAAAGAGATGTCGGTGCAGTCCAAACCGAAATAATGTTCAGTAATTGGATCATATCTAGAACTGTAGATTTTAGATTTAGGTCTACTTTATATGGATGGAAAGGTAAGACATAGGCCTACAACTTTCATATGGAGCCCAAGATCTAAAAAGGCCATTTTCAAGTCCAAATTGTAGCAACAACAAAGAAGCCCGAATCTGTCCTCCAGCCCGAGCACTGTTCAGTATTTTGGCCATATTTGGAGTTCTAGAAGTCGAAATGAGCTGAATGTTTTACACAGGAAATCTGAGACAATTTCCTACAACTTTCATGTTTCAAGTGGCTCCAATTTTGACGTTATCAATGATGTTTTGGGCAGACAAGAGAAGATAAAGATTATCACCAAGTTAAGAGTTGGTCACCCATTTATCAATTAGTCATCAAATCAATAGTTCCTAATTTTGGCCTATAAAAGGAGGCATTTGCCATGTATTTAGGCATCTTGGTTCCAGATCAAGATCATGCTTTTGCTTTCTCTCTTTGTATTTTTTGTATTGCTTATGCTTTGCTTTCATTAATATCAAGTTTATGCCTTTCCTTTACTTAGTTAACTTATCTTATTTATGTTCTTATTTTATTTATTTATTTTTCTTTTTTTTATTATGTTTAGCTAAGTTTATTATGTCAAGGTGAAAAGGTTACACTAATGGTGTAAGAATAAGTATAGTGTAAACTTAATATGGACTTTAATGTTTGATACTAACATGTTTTGTATTTGTTATCTGGTTTACTCTTTAATACTTTGCTTGGTAAATGACTAATCTTGATTTATGTTGTATAACACTTGGTACAACAAATGCTTGGTACTTTCATAGTTCATACTATAACTTATGTTAACAACAAATCAAGTTCCTTTCATAGCTCAGGTGTCGGTTATACCATACAGTATGAACTATGAAAGCACCTGAGCTATGAAAGGAACTTGATTTGTTGTTAACATAAGTTATAATCATGAATGCTTGACAAGATTTATAAGTATTAGCATTAATCGGATAAGATTACTAATGTAATCATGTTAACAATCTATAATCAGATTGGAACCTCCTTTGTGTGTGATTTCCAATTGAGTAATAAGAGTTTATACTATACTTGTTTGACATACCATTAGTAGAACCTCTAACCTTGACATTTGTTATTATCATTGTTTAATTCTTACACTAATATTCCATCTCCAAGTTCTCATCTTCTTCTTCTTCTTTTTTTTTTTTTTTATTATTAGTACTACTACTACTACTACTACTACTATTATTGTTGTTGTTATTGTTATTATTGTTGTTATTGTTACTATTGTTCTTATTGCTATTGTTGTAGTTTATAATTGTTAATTATAATTTGTACAATTAACCTCCTTGTGGTTCGATCCCGGTCTTGCCAAGTTATTTATTACTTCGACACTCCTGCACTTGGGAGAAGACATCAATCTTTTAGTCGTGTCAAGTTTTTAGCGCCATTGCCGGGGAGGTAAGTTTTGTATAAATTATAGCATTTATTTTATTTTCTCTTTTCACTTTTATTGTATATAACTTTGTTTCTTTTCTCTTGTTTCTTCTTCTTTTGTTTTCTTTTTCCTTTTATTCTATTCCTACATGTGCATGAGAGTGTGGTCACGTACATCAAGTGGTAGACTTTGTAGGGTATCCTCATCATTTTCAGAAAACATGGCCGAAGAAGATAATCAATCACTTCATAATGAGAATAATGAGAATAACCGTGCTAGAACACTTAGAGACCACATGAATCCCACAAGAACAAGTGCATCATCATGCATAGTTTTTCCTCCCGATGCATCTCATTTTAATTTTAAACCAGGTATTATTCAACTTTTACCTTCTTTTCATGGCTTAGAATTGGAAAATCCATACTTGCATTTAAGGGAATTCGAGGAGGTCTGCAACACAAATAATAATTTAAATTGTAGCATGAACACCATCAGATTAAAGCTTTTTCCTTTTTCATTAAAAGATAAAGCTAAAACATGGCTACAAAATTTGAGACCAGGATCCATTCGTGCTTGGGATGAAATGCAACAACAGTTTTTAAAGAAGTTTTTCCCATCTCATATAACAAACTCTTTTAAAAGACAAATCACTACTTTCACTCAAAAACCAGGAGAAACATTTTACCAATGTTGGGATAGGTATCGAGACTTACTTAATACTTGCCCTCATCATGGTTTTGAAACATGGAGATTGGTTTCACATTTTTATGAAGGGTTAACACCTAAAGATAGGCAAATGGTTGAATTGATG